GCTAGCTTAACTGAAAGGGAGGGTTCGGTTGTTTTAGTGGGTTGCGAAGATGACATGGAGAAAGGGGAGGTGGGACACGTGGACGACCTTAATAAGAAGAAGTTGGTGGATTTTAAAGAGATGATTAAGATTGCCGGGCTCAATGGAGAATCAAGTGGGGCCCAGGTCATGAATGTTGACATTAATGATAGTAGGAAGGCCAATCTGTTTAGGAAGGGTGAAGAGGACAAAAGAAGGCTTCTAGGTTTCAATTGCTCAAAATTTAAAAGGTATGTGACGTCAGGAAGAAGGTGTTTGACTAAGGTAAGAAAGGAATAGGGAGAAAGATGGATTTTGGGGTTTGGGAATTAGGAGGGTAAAGGCTTTCAACGAGGTCCTTTTGGGTAAATGGCTGTGGAGGTTTGGGTTGGAGAAGGAGAGAGGGTCTCTTTGGAGGGGAGTAGTAGCTGACAAATATGGGTTGGTGAGGTTTGGATGGGAATCAAGGGAGGTTTCAAATTCTTATGGGGTGAGTGTATGGAAGGGAATAATGCATTTCAATCAAATGTTTAAATCTTCAGTTAGATTTAAGGTAGGTGATGGGTCAAGGATAAGATTTTTTGGGAGGATGAGTGGTGTGCAGCAGGAAAACTTTGTGTGGTATGCCCGGAGCTGTACAAGTTGACTGAACATCAAATCAAGGTAGCCCATTGCTTTGAACTGAGGGGTGACCAGATTGTATGGTGTCCCAAGTTTAGAAGACCATTGCTGGACCGGGAGGTCGCAGAATGTGTTCAGCTGCTGGAAACACTTCAGAAAGTTGAAGTCTCTCCCTCTTTGAGGGATGGGTTGTGGTGGAAAGAGTCCAGGGATAGGGTGTCTTTCTACATGGCGTTGGTGAAGGATCAGCTGAACTCAGATCAATTGGAGGGGATTTGGGGGAACCCAGTTCCTCCCAGAGTGGAAGCTTTCACTTGGTTAGCTGCTTTGGACAGCATACTTACTGCTGACCCGCTAAATAGCAGAGGGATTTACTTGGCAAATGTCTGCGTATTATGTTGGGAGGGTGAAGAAACTGTCTTTCATCTGTTCTACTCTTGCAAGACAGCAAAGGTCATTTGGAGCTTCTACTTCTCTTTATTTGGGGAGAGTGTTTCCCAGCCAAGCTCTACGGCAGAAGTCTTCTCTTCCTGGCCAAGCTTTAACAGGATCAGGAAATCAAGGATAGTTTGGAGCTGCATTCCTTTTGCGGTGTGCTGGTTCTTTGGAATGAAAGAAATAGAAAACTATTTGATGACAGATCAAAGAACACTGAAACACTAGTTGCTCTGGTTGGGAAGCTAGTAGCGGATTGGGTTTGGGTGCTACCAGAATTTGATCAAATCAGCAGATCTGAAATTGGGAAGAGTTTTTGGAATGTTCTAGAGATTCAGCTGTTGTAATTTGGATTAATTTATTTTCTTTTTAAGAGTTAGTTGTTGTGTGAGTAGTGGTGATACCTTGTCACCATTTGGATTTTACTCATCTTTTCTGATTTAATGAATTTTCATTTACTCTTCTAAAAAGAGAAGCTGGATTTGGGTGATCACCGAGGATGACAAGAGTGGTAGAAGTCTTCTTTTTTGGGCTCGGTTGTAACTTGAAGTAAGATTTAGGGTGAGAATTAAGAGAGCTTATCTCTCCCAATTTCAATGTTTGATTGTATTCTGATTTGATTTTTAAATAAATCATTACAGTTATTGATTAAAAAAGTCCAATAAAAGGTGAATGTAAAAAATACATTGAAAAACCATTCAAATCTGACCAACTTGCTCTGGTCCAATCAAGCTTTCCTGAGCCTGATTGAGCCTAAGCCTGCCCCAAGTTGTGTTGGGTTAAGCTCGCGTTGGGCCTGAGTTGGTAAACTCAGGATTAACCTCTTGTTGGGGCAGAATTGAAGCCACTGTCTATGTCTTAGGGTTAGCCTGGGTGACCCTCAACCCAACCCAAACCACCCAACTTGCACACTAGTATCTCAATAAGATATATATATATATATATATATATATATTTTGGTATCTTATTACTACTGAGGAGAGTCAATTGAGAGGAGAATAGATCTACAATATCTTATGGGAGATACCAAGAGATCCTAAGATGTGAAAGTTGTTCCATATCACTATCTTATAAGGACATGAAAGATTAGTTAGTTGACGGTTTAAGCACTTAAAACAAAGAATACATGGTTGCACACATGAGATAAGAGACACCAAGCTTTTTGTCTTCATTGAAGCATCACAAGTGTTGATTATCTCCAGAACAGCTTCCTGGCATAAAGCTTTTATTTTTTATTTTTGTGTAATAGGACCATTCTAGAGAGTTTTGTTTGAAGGCAAGGGGAATTTAGGGGACAAATACAAAATCTTGTAAAAGGAGGAACAAGAAAACTACCTAGGGAGTCTATGGACTAAACTATCTGATCAATACCTATTGGGGAAAGGAAAAATATATAAGAGAATCGAGAAGGGAAACAACCTCATCACTCTCAAATCTATTAAATCCATCCGGATACTCAAGTCTGAAGAAATAATCAAGGGAAGGATAGAATCCACTATAGGATTGCATGGGTATCCATTGTGTGCTTCTCAAAATTGACCTATTGGTGCACTTTTCAATGTTGATAGTTTAACCATGCAATAAAACATATTTGCCTTGATTTTCTTCTAAAATAGTTAGGATTCTGTTTGTGGGTGAAATACCTTTCCTACCATTCTTTTTCTGTTTCACTTTTCCCCTTTTTTGCAAAGTCGTCCATTTCTCCTACATGATTGTCTTGATTTTCCTCTAATATAATCAGTTTGCATTACTAAATACCACATAATGACATAGTGGAATAACAAGAAGAGACAGAATGTGTATCATTATTATATATGATCTTAATCTCGCTGGATGAATTTACAAAAAGGAATGAAATTTAAATATCAACTAAACCTTTTTGAAGAGTAACAAAAAAAAATTATTAATAGAAAATAGATTACAAAAAGGATGACAAGATGGCACCTTGACAAAAATACAACAACTACAAACCAGCAAGAGACATACTATTGGCTGTTACAATTCTAGATTTCAAGTACATTCCAAAAATTTGCTCCCAAATCTGATCTCCTTATCATTTCAAACTCAGGGAGCACCAGAACCAATGAGATGTATATTGGGTTATCAAACTATTATATTTATAGTTCGATTAAATTAACTAATTAACCCCCCCCTCCCACACTGAAAGCCCCTCAGCATCCAGCTACTCCCCGCGACCTTTGCCCCCAGATCTCTTCCTTTAGGTTCATGTTGAAAGTCTCTAACTTTGTTTCCTGGAGAAGGTCAACCTTTGGTTTGAATCTTCTGATTAAGTTCCTGGCCACTGCTCTTCTTTTCTTCTCCCTCAGATCCCTAGTGTTCCAGCTCAAAATCCTCATCCTCAAAACCCTGTCTGACCCCTACAAACAAATAGAGGCCCAATTTCTCGCATATCCTCTCCTATAACCTTCTCCTCTCTCCCTTTTTCATCCTAGCCACTGCTCTTCGATAGGACATCCTCTCTCTTGCTCTTCTCTTTGCTCCTGGCTTTCTTGAACTGTTCAAAGGCTCTTCTTGCAAAATCTTTCCCTCCCTAGAAGATTAAACCCAACAATTTACCCCTTGACACCTCCTTCTTGACTAAAGTATTTAAATCCACACCTCCCTTACATGCCTCTTCCAAAACCCCTTGATCCCCTTCCCTTCTTGTCCCTTCTGTTACTTTATCCTCCCTGTTGTTCCTCCGTAGAGCCACTCCTATTCTCAACTTCTCCTCCCTCTTCCCTTCCAATCCAGTGTTAAGACCCTCTACTCATCTTTTCCTGTTATAGACTAACTTCTTCTTACCACCTCTTCCTGCCTCCTCTACAGCCTTCATCTTCCTATTTTCCACCCCCACTTCACCATCCTGGCCCCCAGATTGTTCCCACTGGGAAAGTCTCAGCCACTGCCTTCTCAACTGGAAGCCCCTCAGACATATCAGTACTAACCTCTCTTTCTAGAGAATCACAATCAGGCCCCACTGCACGTTCTGTGACATCTTCAACAACCACCGGATCTTCCAACACTTCCTCCTGTTGTGATGAGAGTTGCTGCATGCCGATTGTTAGAGGAGATGAGCTAGACAGAGCTAGCGCAGGACTCGACTGGCCACGCCTAACAGGATCTTTGACATCTCCCTTTGGGTGGTGCTGGACTCCCTAGGGGTTTCTTGACAGTCTCCCTCAAGCTTAATAGTTTTCATTTTCACACTATTTTTTTAATGCAGGAATATGTGTCACGTTGATATGATTGTGTCCATTGACTTGTAATGATATGCTGGAATGCTATTACTATTTCCATTTTTTTAGATTATAGTACTGAAAACCAATCAGTGGGAGTTGCAAAAAAGAATACGTAAAAGCAGTAGGTGTCAAAACTTAAATACTTCCTCATCTATATTTCCTTTATTAGCTTTTCCAAGTGCTCTCCTTATTTAGGATAATTGCAACCTTTTTGTATCCCATCATCTGTTTCTCTAGCCCCTTCTTGTTTGCTCATTGCTGTGGTATGTTTAGCAGTTTTTAGTGTCTTTTATTTGCATAAGCAATAGTAAGTATTTATTGTTTAAGCTTATATCCTTTGCTGTCTTTGCTTAGTCTTGTGTATTTTGTTTGTTGTTGTTTTCTATGCTTACTTTGCTTACTTTTCTTTGTGACAAGGCAAGTATTTCTATTAGTTGTCAAAGATTTTAGGAGCGTGTTCAAATATCATACATATAGATCTAGGTCTTACACAAAGGATGCCTACACAAAAGTACATATAGAAAATGGTGTGTAAAACTTTCACAGTAATTGTGCATAAATAAAGGCTCATCACACAAAAGATATGATTGTCTTGCTCCCCTGAATCTCTCTCTCTCTCTCTCTCTCTCTCTATCTATCTATCTATCTCTCTCTTCTTTCTTTGACTGTCCTATACTTGTGCAGTTGGAAGTTGTCCGCAAGTTGCTGGTAGAAAGCCTGAAAAATGGGGACCGCTTCGAGGCTCTCATATACTCTGCAATCTATCTGAAGGTTGTCTTTTATTGTGTGTATTTGTATCACCACCATCCTTGTGCAAGCCCACTTATTCGTGGTCTTAAAATTAATACTTTGGTTTTCTATCAGTGGATAAACACGGGGCAGATTCCGTGCTTTGAAGATGGAGGTCATCGTCGGCCAAACATGCATGCTGAGATCTCCATGTTCATATTTCGTGAACTGGAAAGAATTTCTTATGGGAAAGATACATCAGCCCAGGTTTTTTCTCAACATATCAAGAATCTGTCAATTTGCTTTTTCTTGCTATGGAAGTGTCTCAGTATGTCATTCCACTGCTTTGAAATTTGGACTTTCAATGGTATTTGACTTATTTTTCCATGTGTATACTGACCTTTTGATTGTATGGGATGTAAAAATGATTCCAATGATCATCTTTTATTTAGATAACTTGGAATCGGAAATTCTAGGTTTGTTCTAGTAGATTTAGTGTTATGAAAGAAATGGAAAGAGTAAGAGAGTAAGAAAGGAAGTAGAGAAGAAAGGAAGAGGATAGAAGAGGGAAAGATTGAAGGGAGGCAACAAGTAATGGGGCATGTGCCTACTCTTCTATTTATATTTTTTCTCATTACACTGAAATTGACATAAGTAGCTGACCCCATATAGTTGGGATCATGGTTTAAACTCTCCCTAATTTCCTTTCACGACATATTTCCATTTCCATGGGTAGCGACACGAAATTTTACCGGAATCAACATATTCTCCAATGAACACTACCAGCACTATGTGGAGTACAATAGATAGTTTCCACAACATATTTCCATTTCCACTTCCATGGGTAGCAGTATGAAAGTTTACTAGAATCAATGTATTCCCTAGTAAACACTACCAACACTGTGTGGAGTACARGAGATAGTATTATAACATGAGTTGGTGACAACATTGTAAATATGTAGAGTAACAATTTTATTGCTTGCCTAACTTACATGATTACCACTTTGAGCTAGTTCAATGTTCATTTCAAATATGAAGTTAAATATTAGTTTTTGTATGTGTAATTGATTATTTGGTTGACCTATTACAACCATTTACATTTTCTGAGTTTAAATTTTGCTTTAACTCATTCTATCATGAAGCTTTGAATATTGAGGTTTACAAGGCAACTTTAGAACGTGTTCTTTGTCTATAACCTAAGTTTGTTAGTTTTGTTTAATGATTTGGAACAAGATAATAATTTAAAAAAGTATGCCTATGCTTCTTTTATCATTTCATAAAATATAATTCTATATTTTGCATAGTTTACGATGTTTCCACCATGTCTGTAATTTTTACAATATTTCCATACGATATTTCAGACATTTCCGACATGTTTCTTACTTGGGATAAGGCATGGATGATGATGGTGATGATGACACTGAAGTTGGCATAAGTACCTCTTGCCAACACTTCATAAATATAATAAGAATAAAAAACAACCAATAATAAAGAACAAATCATCTTAATACTTCCCTCTCAAACAAAATAAAGCTGAACTTTGATGGCAGCTCCATAGGGGACCTGGGACTGGCAGGCATAGGGGGTGTCTTCAGAAACTCAGAAAACAAAGTGCTGGCTATGTTTTCAGGGCCTATAGGGGTTGGAGATTCAATAAAGGCTGAACTTCAAGCTCTTCTTCAGGGGATTGTACATGCATACATACAAACATGAAGACATGTCGGGCTTGGGTTGGGTGAGGTTGCCCAAGTCCTCTACCTTAACCCAACCCAAAGTTGTTTCTTTTTCTTCTCTTGGGTGACTTCTGGTCACCTTCCTTGAAATCTCTTCTTAGTTGCATATGTACATGCATACATACAAAAATGAAGACATGTTGGGTTTGGGTTGGGTGAGGTTACCCAAGTCCTCTACCCTAACCCAACCCAAATCTAAGTCAGGTTCATATTTTTCAACTCTAAACGTAACCCGAATTTCGACCCTACCCAACCCAACCCAACTTTTTCGTGTTGGGCTTGAGATATCCCAGCCCAAGTTGCAGCTCTAGTAGGACAACTGCTCTGATACCAAACTGATGTAGGRTGGCTGACTAAGGGTGAAATTAGGATGGTATTAATTATCTAGAATGGGGTTTAAGGATGATTTTAGGACTAAATGAAGGGATTGGCTGGGATTGGAAAGGTTTTGGGAAAAATGGCAATTTTCCAGGTAAGAGTCATCAGGTTATGAGTGTTCAAAGGGACTGTAAAGGGGTTCCATAGTTGAGTGTTGAGACTATCCAAGACTCCAAGTTCTATATTCATTTTTTTGCTCTACTTTTTTTGTAAACTTATTCATTTTCAAGTAGATCTGCATTCCTTTTTTAGGCATTCTTTATGTTAGGGTCCTATAAATAGACATTCTATCTTCTTTCTGGTATTTATTTTCTGAATATGGTCAGAATTGTTTCTTAGTTCTTTCTTCTGTCCTTTTCTTCTTCAACCTTCAGTTTTTCTTATTATGTGTTTCTTTTGTTTTTGTATATGTTGTTCAAATTAAAAATCTTTTTCCTTGATACATTTACAGGAAAAACTTGTCATTTCGAAGATTCATCCATGTTTACCATCATTTAAGTCAGAATTCACTGCTTCTGTTCCTCTTACTCGAATAAGAGACATTGCTCATCGGGGCGACATCCCTCATGATCTGAAGGTTTCATCTCATGGAATGCTAGTCAATAGATTGCAATTTTAGTTAAATAGTGTCTGTTGATTTATTTTTTCATATTTTTGCTTAATTCCAGCAAGAAATCAAGCATACTATACAAAATAAGCTTCACCGAAATGCTGGTCCAGAGGATTTGATTGCCACAGAGGCAATGCTTGCTAGAATTACCAGGACCCCTGGGGAGTATAGTGAAGCATTTTTGGAGCAATTCAAGATATTCCATCGTGAGCTCAAAGATTTCTTTAATGCTGGAAGGTGTGCTAAGAGAAATGGTTTTGACCTTTCATTATCACAACAAACTAGAAGCCTAGAAATGTGTGATTATATAGAAATATTATGAACTTTCCATGCTGTCTTTATGTCTTAAGTCAATGAATAAAGGAAAATGGACATGCAGTGGATGTGTATGAACTGTCTGCCAAGCATGGTTTCCAAATATTGCCATTTCTTGTCAGTGTCCAAGTTTTGTGGTATAGTTTTGTATACACTTGATTGCATAGCTTGGATGCCAATGATTTTGAAATTTATTCAACATGATTGCCTGCAACCCTAAAGGAAGCATCCATAGGCAAAGAAGAAAAGGTTTACAAAATTAACAAAGGGAAAAAGTTTGGGAATCCTTTCAATATGATGCTTGGGCTAAATACCTGCATTAAGATGGGAGGAGAAAAGTTTGGAAGAAAAAGAGAGATAAAATTAAACTGAAAAGTGAAAGTATTTTATTATTTGGTTTCCAAGGTGAAAACAGTAAAGTTTCCTAGTCTGCTGGATGTGCTTAAATGCAGTTCCTTGGTTAAAATACAAATACATAATCTCATTGTCCTCTAGTTGTTCCTTGTTTCTCCTGTTTTCATTCTTTATGTTGATTAACAATTATTTAGTTTGTACTGGTTATACAAAATTTGAGCCAACTTATGGATGAAGGAAACTAGGAAATTGTTTGGTTTTGTTAGTTTTCCTTTCTAATTGTAATAGTGGATATTGCAGCCTTGCTGAACAACTTGAATCAATCGGGGAATCTTTGGATGAAAAGGGTCTATCTGCCCTTGGTTTATTTTTGGAGTGCAAGAAGGTAAATGCTGCTTTCCAATGCTATTATGGTTAATTTTATTATTTTAAAAGTCAGCATGCACTTACATACTTTGTTAATGACACTGGTAAGAAAAAGAGCATAGAATTTCATCTTCACCATCAACTTTCCTCCAAAATATTCCTGCCATTCTGTTGGCAATAATACTGATGATTGATTTTTTGTAGTTTTAATGTCTTCTGTATGTTCAGTCTCTTGCAGCATATTTTGTTCTAACAATGGTATTGGATAATAATATGTTAGGAATTGCTTCTTTTGCAGAACCTGGATAGGTTGGATGAATCAACTAATTTTATTAAAAGTGGTGGCATTGATCTATTAATGACAACCTTGAAATCCTTGATGGGTCTAAGAGCAGTAATTGTGAAAGGTCTTGAAAGTGGTCTTCGCAATGATGCCCCTGATGCTGCAATAGCAATGCGTCAAAAAGTAAGGTTTTTCTGATTATTAATAGTAATTTTATTTTATGTTTTATACAATAGATTTTTAAGGAATTGTTTCTGAATAACTTTTATCTGCAGTGGCGTCTTTGTGAGATTGGCCTAGAGGACTATTCTTTTGTTCTTTTAAGCAGGTAATGTTCGTCTAGATACTCACTGAGATTCTTGTCTTCCCCTTGGAGTTAAGGGCTAATTCGGTCTAGCTTCTTGGAAATGTTGCACAGTAAAAAAATCTGCTACAACATTTCAGGGAGGACCTCTTGAGGCCCTTTTTTCTGGTTTTTGCAAAACTTACAGTATTTAGATGTTGCTTCTTTGAAAAGGGACCAACTTTTGCCATCTAAATCACTGGTTATGCTCCCTGAAAATCAGTTGAAACATTTGAAAGACCCTGTGTCAAATTATCCCTTAGAGAATGTAGTTAGTACATATTGTCAATAAAATAAAGTTAATTTGTGCACTTTTTCCTCTTTACTGTATTTGTGTTTTATTATATGCATCTTGGAGAGGATTTTCAATTAAATCTAGGAACTAAAGTGTGAGTTATTTTGCTGATACCGTATTGTTGTTTCTTGATTTTTCAGTTTACCAATATGGTTTGCCATGGTAACAAGTATTTGCTGGTATCTTAACATTTTAGTGCATTTTGTAGTGATTCTAATTGATAAACCAGTAGTACTTTGAGACCCATAAAAAAAAAAATGGTAGTACTTTGAGACTTCTGAGCAAAACTCTAAAATCTGCTGATCTTAGGTTAGTTTTAAGTATGTATTTTTAATCTTGATTACTTCAGATCTCTTTTAAGCTTACAATTATGATACCTATATGGAAAAGAAAATCTCCTAAATATTAATTTGAATTGGTATCAATTAGTATGTTTTCTCTTTAATAAAATGACCTTAACTTATTCCAAAAAAATGGTATTAGCATCACAAAAAATTGATAATATCATGTTAGTAGTTCAGTGAATCGCTTGTCTTGGACAGTGTTTTAAAAGCGCAAGGTGCAAGGCGAGGGTGTGCACCTTTTTGAAGCAAGGCACAAAAATACAAAAAATGCTAAAAAATAAAAAAGTCAAAGAATTCAAAAAAATATTAAACATAATATTAATAAAAAATGTGAACTTAAATATTAAAATAAATGTTTTAAAAAACCTATTATCTAAAATTAAAATAATAAACATAACTTGTAAAGCATATTCAAATGAGAATTTAAAAATTAAATCAAACATATAAAACATTTTCAAGCATGTAAAACCCACAATCTCTTTTTTTCCTCAATTGCATTACTTCAAGTAGCTAATGTGATGTAAAACATATTACATTCCTGATTCTACGAGCCGCCTTTGTGCCATGCCCCTCAAGGCAAGCCCAAACAAGTCCATGTTATGGTCTTAAATTCTTAGTTCTCACACAAAAAATATTGATTTTATAATTTTAATTGCTTTTTATGAAGATATTTTAGTAGGATGAATGAATGAACAACATTAGCAAATAGGGGGTTCTTGAAGCTGCTATGGTACTAGTCTACTAGGTTCAAAAGAAGCAAAAAAGCGTCAAATTTTCAAAAGGTGCACGCCTAGGCGCACCAGGTGTGCACCTTTTGAAAGGGCTGCACCTAGGACCTAGGTGAGGCGCATACCCTAAAATGCGCCTCACCTGTGCACCTAGGCGCGCCTTTTAAATCATTGATCTTGGATTGACTAGAAATAAAGAGTATTGGGTGGTACCATAATGTTTCCTTCCAGTAAGTTCTGGTACTGGTTGGGGTTTTAGAACTGTTCTAAAAGTAACTTAGAAGCTTACAAGGTGAGGGTAAAGAAAATGCATCAATAGTCAACCTTGGAGGTTCATGCTCATAATTTAGGCACATGCATCATACTTGTGTCAATGAAAGATGTTTCAAGAAACTAATGAATGATTGATGTCTCATAATTCTTTGATTTGGCTATTGTCATGGTTTTAAATGTTAGGATTGGAATGCATGTTGATGTTATAAATATGGTATAAAAGGCTATTGCCCAATGTTGGTGTTGTAATTCTGCTTGTATGTGCTGCAAAGGCAGTTTTGTCATTTTACTTTTATGTACTTTTTCCCTATTATAAATAACACTCTAGGCACTGCCAGCCTAGAGTTTTTAGCCTCAAATATTTTTTTCCTTCTCTCTTCCCTTCTCTCTTCTACCTTTTTAATTGATTTCTACTTGGATAATTTGGTATTAGAGCAATTCTATGGGCACTAGAAGCAGTCTGATCGTGGTTTCTCTATTGAACTTACCTTTTTTTGGACTGAAGACTAAAGAAACTCCAATAGACCTGTTCTGAGTCACCTGGACATTTTTTTTCTCTTTTTTTCTTGGTTGTAGCACCAAGAGAAACATTTGTTGTGGCGGCTGAATAGTGTTAAGGGTTGTTTGAAGACTTTCAACCCCACTAGTGGATTGTGTGATCCAGTTGCAGTAAGGTAAACACCTTTTGAGTCTAGTATGGCCATTTTTATTGTTAGTTGAATGTGTTTTGTGCATGTATGGTACTTATGTGGACTTTGTAGTCAGTGTTTAGGAGTTTTCTGATGGCTGCTTTGCTTCAGGGAAGGTGTAGCAGTCGGTCTTTTGTGAAAAGTGATTAAATTGAGGTTGTTGGTGGTGCGACTGAAGTACAGGTCACTTCCTCCTTTCTGTAGGCCTTAATAATTAGTGTTTCTGGAGTGGTTTGCTTTTTGTTTGATGTATTTTGGGTTGAATGGAGTGGTCTAATCAGTCCCATTGGCTTTTGACAATTCTGCTACCTCTAGTATTACTTCTAATCAAGGCAGACTGAATGAAGGTTTGGACAGTATAACTTTTCCCATGACTATTGTTCCTTTGGATGGTCTCAATTACTTAGAATGGTCCAAGGGAATCAAGTAATACACTACCGCTAGGGGGAAAGTAGGTTATATCAAAGGTAAATTTCAGGAACCAAAGGTTGGGATTTCTGAACATGAGAGGTGGGACCAAGATAATATAGTGTGATCACTACCAGAGTATTGAATGGAAGAATGATGAGGATGCCAAGGCCTACAATAAACTCGTGTTTCAGCAATGACTGTTTGCTTTCCTGTTGGGCTTGAATCCCATGTATGACCCCATTAGAGTTCAGATTTTAGGTAGTAGGGATCTACCCTCAGTTCAGGAGGTAGTGTTAGTGGAGCAAAGAGAAGTGACTTCCCAAAGAATGGTGATGATAAAGACAAACTGTGGTGCATTCATTTTTGTGGCCCAAGAATGGGCATCCTTCTATTGGAGCAGTGAAACTAAACTTTGATGGCTGTTCATTGGATAATCTGTCTGGTATTGGAGGAGAGTTTAGAAACCATGGAGGTGACATCCTACTGGACTGACCTAAAATGGCTAGAGATCTTTTCTTTTACATGAGTAGAAATCATTGATTGCAGATTTAGTTGAATTCCTTGTGAAGGGATAGGAAGATGAAGATTTCAGTAGTAGAGAAGAAGAGGAGGAGAAAAGATTTGGAGGTCAACGAGGATTCTTAGATTAACCCTAGCCGCCAACCCCTCATTATAATTTATACTTAACTTAAAGGATGAGATATTACAAGGATGCCCTTAGTAGGGCAGCTACTAATGTAGCTGAACAGTCGCAACTTAAAAACATAAAATAATGGGCCTAAAGCCCAACACTTCCTAACTAAATAACTTAAAATACAACTAGGCCCAACTCAACACTCCCCCTCAAGTTGGGAGTAAATATCATACATTCCCAACTTGTGTAGATCATGCTCCAGATTGTTCTTTGCAACACCTTTTGTGAGAACATCAGCGAGCTACAGATCATAAGCAATGTATGGAAGACAAACTTCTCCAGAAGTCACTCTTTCTCTGATAAAATGTCTATCCATTTCAATGTGCTTAGTTCGGTCATGCTGAACTGGGTTATGGGCAATATTAATTGCTGCTTGGTTATTACAGTACAATATCATAGGTTCTTCTGCCTGTACACCAATTTCTTCTAATAGGGAACGGATCCAGAGAAGTTCTGAAACTCCATGTGCCATGGCCCTGTATTCAACTTCAACACTTGATCTTGCCACCACTGTTTGTTTCTTACTCTTCCATGAGACAAGGTTACCCCCAACAAGGGTGCACGCTCCTGAAGTTGATCTCCTGTCATTAAGGCATCCTACCCAATCTGCATCTGTATAAGCCTCTAGTTTCAACTGTCCATGATCGGTAAACAATATGCCTCTGCCCGGGTGTCCCTTCAGATAAGCAAGAATCCTATCAACTGCCTCCCAATGTTGGACTCGTGGATCATGCATGTTTTGACTTACCACACTTACTGCATAGGAAATGTCTAGTCTTGTCATACACAAGTATAGCAGCCGACCCACAAGTCTCTAATATCTCCCAATGTCCTTTACTGGCTCACCTTCTGATGCATTGACTCTATGGTTCTAATCAATAGGGGTACTGATTGCCTTCGTTCCAAGCTTCCCTGTTTCTTGAAAAAGATCCAAGGCATACTTCCATTGAGAGATAAAAATTCCATGTTTTGATCTTGCAACTTCAATGCCTAAGAAGTATCTCAGTTCTCCATGATCCTTAATTTCAAATTCTTCATGTAGATTCCTTTTCAGACAATCAATCTCACTTAGGTCATTCCCCGTGACAACAATATCATCCACATAAACAATTAGGATTGACACCAATGACCCCCTTCACTTCACAAACAAGGTATGATCGGATTGAGTCTGAGTGTAGCCAAAAGCAATCAAGGCCTTTTTGAATCTGTCAAACCATGCTCTGGGAGATTGTTTCAAGCCATAAATTGATTTCTTAAGCCTGCAAACCTTTCCCTTTTTAGCATCACTGTAGAAGCCAACAGGAAGATTCATATACACTTCCTCTTGCAGATCCCCATTTAGGAAAGCATTCTTCACATCAAGTTGAAACAAGGGCCAAGAGTATGAGGCAACAAGAGAAAGAAGTATCCGAATAGAGGTCATCTTTGCAATTGGTGCAAAGGTCTCTAAGTAATCAATGCCATAGGTCTGTGTGTACCCTTTTGCAACAAGTCTTGCCGTGTACCTTTCTATACTTCCATCTGCCTTATATTTTACTGTGTAAACCCATCTGTATCCAACTGTCTCCTTGCCCTCTGGCAGATCCACAATGTCCCATGTCTGATTCTTAATCAAGTCTTCCATCTCTTCCTGCATAGCTGTCTTCCACTTAGATTTGGAGAGAGCCTCACTAACACCCTTGGGTATGGACACAGAGTCAAGAGAGGAAAGAAAAGCACTGTAGGAAGGAGAAAGTCCACTGTAGGATAAGTACTGTGAAATACAATGAGCAATACACTTTCTCTTCCCTTTTCTGAGAGCAATAGGAAGATTGAGGTTATCTGTAATAGGGTTAGTAGAATCAATGGGAACTGAAACAGTAGCGGGACCAAGAGGAATACTTGAATCCATGTCAGCTGAATCTGGAGTCTCCAAGGAACCAACAGGAAATGATGTGAGTTCTATTGTAGTGGAATCAACCTCCTTGTGAAGTCTCTGTTGTAAGTAATGCTGAGAAGTAGGACGCAAAGGAGGTGGTAAGGTAGGTGACACAGGAGGGTCAAGCACAGGAGTAGACACAGGGACTGGAACTGGGAGAGGAATAGACTGCTGACTCACTTCCCCAAAACACTCCCTCTGAGAAGGATTCTTTGAGAAGAAGTATGTGGATTCAAAAAAGGTGACATCCATGGTAACATACCGACTCTTAGAGACTGGACCATAGCAGTAGTACCCTTTCTGATTTTCTGCATATCCAAGGAAGATGCACTTCTTTGACTTGGGATCAAATTTCGAGCAGTGAGGACCAATGATATGTGCAAAGCAGATACACCAAAACACCCTGGGAGGAATATGAAACTACCTGTGTGAGCAAAGGAAGTAAAGTGGACTCCACCAGTACCACCTGTACCTTGCTGTTCGCTTGTTGCTGAACTGGAACTGGCTGTATCCCGCTGGTTTAGAAGTTGCCCATACCTCTCAAATTCGACCCTTACTGCGGAAGCTGTAGTAGGAGGGGCCGGAATGTCACCAGTAACTGCCATGTGAGCATTTCTCTTCTTATTTTTCAATCTAGTCGGCACAAGATGTGGGTGAAGTTTCCAGCAAGTATCTCTTGTGTGTTTAGGCTTCTTACAGTAGTCACAGATCAAATATCTTTTATTTTCCTTCTTGATTTCACTGCCACCTTGATCTCCACTTTGTTTAGGTTTCACATTACTCACCATGGTAGACTGATCAAAAACAGGATTTTTCATCATCACATCTCTCCTGCTCTCCTCCCCTGACACAAAGGCATATGCCTGGGAGAGGGGTAACACTGTCCCTAGAAAGATGCTGTCTTGCAATATCATACTCAGGATTAAGGCCAGCAAGAAATTCAAACGCCCTATACTTCTCTAGATGTTTCTGATAGGTAGTTGCATCCTTAGTGGTTTCCCAAGCAAATGTCTCTAAATGGTCAATTTCCTGCCATAGGGTTTTAAGGGCTGAAAAATAGGTTGCAACCGGTCTATCTTCCTGCCTTGTAGAAATAATCTGATTTCTCAACTGATAAGCCCTAGCAACATTCTCCCTCTGTGAATAGGTTTTTGCAACCCCATCCCATATTTCCTTAGCTGTATTTGCCCATAAAAATTTTTTACTTATATGGGGCAACATGGAATTACACAACCAAGTCATCACCATATAATTCTCCTCTACCCATTGGGAGTTGCTAGTTTTGGGTTTCACTTCTTCACCAGTGATATACCCTAATTTCCCACGAGCACCAATGGCCATCTTTGCAGATTGTGACCATTCTAAGTAATTTGCACCATCCAACCTAAYTGTAGTAATGGTTCCAGTCCCGAAAAGGTCTCCAACACCTCCTCCCACTGGTCCCATTTCACTCCTGGGCTTATTTTCAACTCCGTAACCCTCCATGCTTCTCAAAATGTGTAAAGAAAATAACTGAAATATGCAAGAAGATCAAACGAAACACTTCTGGAACTAACATCTTTCTAGTGTCCTAGACTATCTTCCCACAAAAGATTCCTTTTCTGTGGGACGAGAGAAGAGAGAGAAGAGGCAGCCGCTCTCTCTAGAAGCCTCCAAATCAAGCAGGACTTGAACCGCCCCTTATAGAAAGCTCCAAGGAACCCTAAAAATTAGGGTGCCACTTCCTAGGTCAAAATTGAAGAGTCCAACAGAAACAAGACTCTTCTCCTTTCTCCAGTTTTTCCTGATTTTGATGAGAAACCCTAGATCAGCTACATGGCAAACAGATCCACCAAAAAATCCAAAAATGGGCTTACCTGAGATCTTCGATCAGCCTCTTAAATCACTATGCAGTCAGCCAATCTAGGGCTGCATGAGAAAACAACTCAAGGAACCTTCGACCTGCTCTGATACCAAGTAGAAATCACTGATTGCAGATTTAGTTGAATTCCTTGTGAAGGGAAAGAAGAGGAAGATGAAGATTTCAGCAGTAGAGAAGAAAAGAGGAGAAAAAGTAGGAAGTCAACCAGGATTCTTAGATTAACCCTATCCGCCAACTCCTCATTATAATTTATACTTAACTTAAAGGATGAGATATTACAAGGATGCCCTTAGTAGGGCGGCTACTAATGTAGCTGAACAATCACAACTTAAAAACATAAACTAATGGGCCTAAAGCCCAACAACTTCCCAACTAAATAACTTAAAATAAGAATAAAAACAACTAGGCCCAACTGAACAACATGGTGAAAATATAAGGGGATTCACAGGTCATTGTAGGCTAGATACAAGGAGATTTATCAGGTCCATGGAAATATTAACAGCCATTAAGAGAAGCCAAATCTTTTATTGCCACAAGGAGCTTCTCATTCCAGTGGATTAGGAGATCAATAAATGAGATTTGTAGACTCCTTTGCAAGGTCAGGGGTGCAAAGGGCAGTATTGTACTTAGAACCCAGCAATTTTAGCTCAGAGGTGTTAGGATGTATAGGGAGCAGACTGCATGTACAGTCCTTTACATATCTTATTATATTTAATAAAGTTTTCAGTTTTCTATCAAAATAATATGCAATGACCGGTTCACATGTCTATATGCATGTACAAAAGACAAAATTATTATTTGATGTTCATACATTTCTAACTCCTAGGATCACATGAAACTAGGAACCCTTACTATATGTGCTGGAAATTTCTGATTAAGGACTATGTCTACATCATTTATGGATGGTCTACATTCTCTTTTTTGACTCTAAGGATGAAACTTAAATGCATTATGGTATATAGAAAAAAAGCTGGGCCTACATTCTGACTGTTAAAGAGAGACAAAGGAAATGCAATAGAGTGAGGCACAGCGACCAACCCACTAAACCACAGGTCTTATCTACTAACAGATCTAAGTTGGATTCTGCTAAGTCAATATTTGTATCAAAGTGCATTGCACAATCTGGACATTCATCTAAATTTGTTATATAGTTCTGTTGTTAGTAAGTGTTCTATTTTTAAAATGATTGGTGAGATTTACATGGGAATAAAGCATTTTGGGATGTGATTTCTCTGAATAGGTTCCTCAATGCACTTGAAGCCATGGGAGGGTCATCTTGGCTTGCACAGAGTGCAGGGTCAAAGAATGTAAGTTCTTGGAATGATCCACTGTATGCCCTTGTTGTTGGTATTCGCCAGTTGGGACTGTCTGGCTGGAAGCCAGAAGAATGTATTGCTATTGAGAATGAACTCAGTGCATGGAAACAGAAAGGTCTATCTGAAAGAGAAGGTATTTTCCATCATTTTTTTTTTACTTCTAATCCATCTTTTAATTTCTTAGTTGATATCAAGTGGTGTTAATACTTCCTTGGGTATGTTTTCATGTTCCTGGTTCTATTGTCTCTGGTCAGGCAGTGAAGATGGCAAGATTATTTGGGCATTGAGACTCAAGGCCACTCTTGATAGAGCAAGGAGGCTAACTGAAGAATATTCTGAAGTTCTTCTTCAGATTTTCCCTCAGAGAGTCCAGGTTTGCAAGTCTTATTCTCCAACTTTTATAGTGGATAATGATTTGTCAGAAATATTATTCCAACCGAAAAAAAACTACTGATTGATACTATTCAGTATTTGCATCAGTATCATAGCACCATGTTAAAGTATAAAAATCTCTGCTCAAAATCTTCTAGAATCTTTACTGAACCTACCAAATCCTTTATTAGACACCAGGAAAAATAAAATAATAGTAAAATATTGCCCAAATATCATGAATCCCACAAAATTAAGTAAGGGCAAAATTGATTACTGTTCAAAAGAGTCTTGGACATCCCCTTTACTGGCTGCATGTTCTGCAATCATGACATGAAGTCAGCTGATGGCCCCTTCATTCATTGCCACAGCAGTGCAAAAATTTGCTCATTTTTTTCTTAAACCCTCAAACATAAACTGGGTGATCTCTAGAACTGTTAGAAAGTCCTTGGAAGGATAGCATCTTGGGGGCCTAAATAGAGAAATAACCTGGAGCTTTATTCCAGTAGTACATATTTGAACTGTTTGGATGGAGCGAAAGTCTATGGTTTTCGAAAATAAATCAACCCAAGAACTTGGCTATCAGTTGTTGAAATTCTCAGAAATGTCCTTTTCATTCCTTTTTTTTTTCTATAGAAACTTTAGTTGGTTGATAGTTGACTCTTTTTGCAAGTTTATGATTAAGAGTTTCACTCATTTTGGTTCTACCGTTTCTCACTATATGGGGGATCTAGGGACCCTTTCTTTGAATTTGTTAGTTCTTAGAGCTGGCTATGGAATTCTTACCTTCTTTTCAAAGAAAGGGGGAGGGGAGAACTAAGAAAAGATCCTGAACTAAATTGGCTTAGAACTTTGTAAAACTTAATTCACCATATTGTAGCCAAAGGCACCAAAGGATGGTCTAGCTACTCTTTTTGTATCCACTTCCGAAGTCCAAAATCAAATGTTAAATTCAGATAAAATCCGGCTATCCATCATCACCCATGTTGCTGGATTCTGGTCTTCTGCTGACGTGGTCACTATTAAACATAAGAATCTGTTTATGAAATGAAAAGGATGTTGCATATGAAGTTTTAAGAGAGTCAAACACTTCTGAAGGTATGGCATCCTGCTTACCTTCCTGGCAAATTCTGCAAAACTAGTCCCTAGAATTTTCTTGAATATTTTGCTCTTCTTTTTTCTTCTTCATTCTTTCAGACCTTTGAATTGCTGGTGGATTGGCATGAATTGAACTTGGAGCTACCATAATCTATATATGTACTTCTTGGTGATTCTGTCCTAGCTAGTATCTATAAAAAAAAATTCTGTCCTAGCTAATGTGCAGTACATGTGCTAGGTGCAAACTAGCTTACTTCAAATTATTAAGAATATAACCTGGTTTCTGATAAGAGTTTCTTCCTGACCCTTGCAGATACTAGGGAGAGGTCTTGGAATTGCTGCAAACAGTGTAAGGACATATACTGAAGCTGAGATTCGTGCAAGGTACATGAACCTAACATATTTCATTTCAATATATTGTTTTTGTTCTGTTTTAGGTCATGCAGATTTGTCAGTACTCTAAAGCTAGCACCCTGATCTAACTGTTCTACTTGCAAATGCTATCTGTAGTGTAATCTTTCAGGTCTCAAAACTTTGTACAATTCTATTAAAAGCTGTACGTATTGCACTAGGATCTCAAGGTTGGGATGTTCTTGTTCCAGGAACTGCTGTTGGATCCCTTGTACAGGTACTTTTTAAATTTTGCAATTATACAGAATAAGAAGTGTTACAGCTTGTCACCAACTTACCATGAAATTTGAGAAAAGGTTCTCTTGATGTTCCAAAATACAATTGGAGGTTAAGAGTTATGGGTTGGGTACATTTTATCTAAATCTAAATTTTATAGGTTTTCTCATTTTTATTTTCAAAAACTACAAGGATGTCCCCAACATTAAAACATGGGGAATCAATAATTTCTTCATGCCTTTACCTAGATTGGTAAATTTTAGTCATAACGTGTTGTATAGTTATCAAGGTGGCAAGGCAAGAATTAGGTGGCTTGGTACCACCTCATTGCCCAAGCACTTAGGCAGTGCCACCTAGGTTTTTATTTTGTGACAAACAAGATTATAATTTATTGGATGTGACCCATGTTGACATTTTTATGTTTAAAATTATGATTTTTCCTATAACAATAATCCAAACAAGGATGCCAAGTGTAAGTCCATAGATTTAGGCATCATGGGAATTGTGATGAAAGCCCCTTTGTGCAAGAGTGTGAGTTGAAGGTTTGGATTGGCCTTGTTTATCGGAAGATTTAAAGTTAAGGTTGGAGAGGAATTTTGACCTAGGGGAAATTAAGGAGGCAATATTCTCTATGGATAGAACCAAAGCTCTAGGGTTAGATGGTTTTACTATGGCCTTTTACCAAGACTGTTGGGGCATTCTCAAAAATGACTTGCTAGAGGTCTTTGTTAAGTTTCATGAGAGGAGTGTAATAAAAAGTCTGGAGCAGCTCACCCAAGGGACTTTAGACCGATAAGCTTGGTTAGTAGCCTTTACAAAATAATTGCTAAGGTCTTGTTCCGTAGACTTAAAGAAGCTCTCCCTTCTATCATCTCTCCAAACCAAGGAGCTTTCTTTCAAAATAGGCAGATCACTGATCAGATCTTGATTGCAAATGAATCTGTGGAGGAATTAAAGAGAATAGGAAAAAAGGTAACATTTGCAAATTGGATTTGGGGAAAGCTTACAATTTGGTTGACTAGCCTTTCCTATTAGAGGTGTTGGAACAAGCTTTGGGGAGAAATGGTGCAAGTGGGTTTTGGGTTGCCTCCAAAATTGTCATTGATAAAGTTCAGATCTGTAAACCTGTTGTCTTCAGATTAATCAAGGAAGAAAAAGAAAAAGAAGGAAGAAGAGAAAAGAGAGGAAAGAAGGAAGAAGAGAAAAGAGAGGAAAGAAGGAAGGAGAATGAGGAGAGAAAACCTGGTTCAAACTGAAGAGAAAATCAGTTCTCTACATTCGGCCGGGGTGTATTAGCCTTTCTAAGTTACATTCAAATGACTCTTGTGCCCCTACTTAAGTATGGGACACATCATCTAACTCAAAGACATATCACCATACTGATAAAACTTAAATGACCATTCTACCCTTGTTTAGTCGACACTAACATTCCCCCTCAAGCTGGAGAGTATATATCATATAGTCCCAGCTTCTTACATATGTAATCCACTCTTGCCCGACTCAACCCTTTGGTGAACAGATCTGCCCATTGGCTTCCTGTGTTAACATAAGCTGTACTTATTACTCCACTAAGAACCTTCTCTCTCACAAAGTGACAATCAACTTCTATATGTTTTGTTCTCTCATGAAAGACTGGATTGGAGGAAATGTGGACAGAAGCTTGGTTGTCACAATAAAGCTTCATCGGTGTGCCAATTGAGTACCCCATTTCCTGTAGAAGGCAATGTTTTAAAACGCGGAGGCGTGATGCGAGGCGTTCCACTACCTAGAGGCATGAGGCGTAGTTCAGAACACAAGACGCGTAAGCCTCCTGAACACAAGGAGGCTTACGCCTCCTTAAGAGGAGGGGGGTTAGGAGGAGGATGAAGAGGAAGGGGGGATCTCATTTTTTCTTTATTTTTAATAAAAATCTTTTACATTAAGAAGAACAAAGATGCATAACATTAGTTCAAAGGGGGGGGGGTCTTGTCAAAGCGGAGCAAGACCCCCCTAAATAAAAAAAAAACAAATTGGGGCTGCATCGAAAAAGGGATGGGGGGGGGTTCTGGGGGACAAAGCCCCCCAGCCAAAGGGGCAAGGGGCACGGGGCAAACCACTTTCTTTCCCCTTGTCTTTTCTTCCCTTCCCTTTCCTTTCCTTTTCTCTCTTTTTTTTTTTTCTCCTCTTTCTTTTTCTTTCCCTTCCCTTTCTTTTCCTTTTTTTTTCTTTTTTCTTTTTTTTTTTCTGTCTTTTTATATCAGATGTGCATGAGGCGCATGAGGCGTATGCCTCAGAGGTGTCAGCACCTCTAGCATACGCTTCAGGGCGTTTTGGGAGCACCTCGCCTGGAGGTGTGCCTCCAGGCGTACGCTTCCCACGCCTTTTAAAACACTAGTAGAAGGTTCTTCAACCACACCAGTTCACAGGTTGTATGTGCCAATGGCTCTGTATTCTGCTTCTACACTGCTTCTTGCCACCACTGTTTGTTTCTTACTCTTCCATGTCACCAAGTTACCCCCAATAAAGGTACAATAACCTGTAGTTGACTTCCTGTCAGATACAGAACCAGCCCAATCAGCACCGGTGTACCCTTCTATCTCAAGTTTTCCTCTTCTCTTGTATAGCAAACCACGACCTGGAGCACCTTTCAAGTACCTTACAATCTTTAGAACTGCATCCCAATGAGGGATCCGAGGATTCTGCATAAACTGGCTCACCACACCAACTGCAAATGAAATATCTGGTTGAGTGATAGTTAGGTAGTTTAGCTTACCCACTAACCTTCTGTACCTTCATGGATCTTCAAACTCCTCACCCGTATCACTACTCAACTTAACATTCAATTCCATAGGTGTTTCAACTGGTTTGGCACCCAACAACCCTGTCTCCTCCAGTAGATCAAGGACATACTTCCTCTGGCACAAATTAATACCATGTTTGGACCTTGCAACCTTTATCCCTAAGAAATATTTTAGTTTGCCAAGATCCTTTGCCTGAAAGTGATCATGCAAAAAGGTCTTCAACCTATCAATCCCGAACCTATCACTGCCAGTAATAACAATATCATCCACATATACCACCAACAAAATCTTCCCAACATCAGAATCATAACTAAATACAGAATGGTCGACTTGACACTGCTTCATGCCAAACTTTTTCACTACTTCACTGGACCTCCCAAACCATGCTCGAGGGGACTATCTTAAGTCCATAAATAGCTTTCTTGAGCTTACACACTTTACCATCCTCCCCCTGAGCAACAAACCCAGGTGGTTGCCCCATATATACCTCCTCAATAAGGTCACCATGCAAGAAAGCATTCTTGATATCAAGCTGAAACAACGACCAATCATACATAGCAGCAAGGGAGATCAAAACACAAACATAACCAATCTTGGCAACAGGAGAGAAGGTCTCTGTGTAGTCAATACCATATAACTATGAATAACCCTTTGTCACCAACCGAGCTTTCAATCTCTCAACACTATTATCAGGCAAATACTTGATTGTGTAAACCCACTTACATCCAACAGCATGCTTACTAGGGGGAAGAGTGGTGAGATCCCACGTATGATTATGAGCCAGAGCAGAGAGTTCTTCTTCCATTGCCTGACGCCACCCCGAAGAGATAAGGGCTTCCTGGACATTCTTAGGAACAAAGTTAGAAGATAACAATGAAATGAATTGTCGATGGGAAGGAGAGAGGTGAGAAACAAAAACATAATTGAAGATAGGATGAAGGGTTCAACTGCGTTTACCTTTCCGTAGGGCAATGGGAAGGTCAAGATCAGACACTGGGTGTGAGGGTGCTGCGGACACTACTGCTGGATCCGTCGACAATGAAGAAGTTGGAGGGGCTGGAGCATGTTGATGCATATACACTTGATGGATAGGTGGTCGTGTAGGAGGAATTGGCACCGGAGGCGAAGACTTAGTCATAGCTGGAACAAGAGGAATGGGGTCCGGAATAGGAACTGGAAACGGAAGGAGAGTGGAAGGAGAAGAGACATCCGACCCAGAAAAGAAAGGAACCGACTCAAAGAAGGTTACATCGAGACACACAAAACAATGTCGAGAACTGGGACTGTAACACTTGTACCATTTTTGGGTCCTAGAGTAGCCAAGAAAGACACACTTTGTAGATYGTGCATCCAACTTGTCTAGTCCAGGGCCAAGGTTATGAACAAAGCAAACACATCCAAAAACCTGGGGGGTAAGAGGAAAAAGGAGCAATGTAGGAAACAAAACCGAGAAGGGAGACTGACCATCAAGGAGGATGTAAGCACAACATCACTCTAGAACCATTTGGGAACATTCATTTAGTGCAACAGGGACCGAGTGGTTTCTAAGAGATGGCGGTTTTTCCTTTCAGCTACCCCGTTTTGTTGAGGGGTGTAAGAGCAAGAGGTTTGATGAATAATACCGTGTTGTTCTAAATATTGCTGAAATGGTGTATAAAAATATTCTCAGCCATTATCTAAACGTAGAATTTTAAGATGGACACCAAATTGAGTGCGGATTTCAGCATGAAACTTTTGGAAAATAGAAAATAATTTACTTCTTTCCTTCATAAGATAAAGCCATGTCATCATTGAATAATCATCAACAAAAATAACAAAGTATTTGTATCCATTGTGTGACACTATTTTATTTGGACCCGAAATGTCCGAATGGACCAAAGGAAAATGACTCGACAAACAACTCTCAAATCTAGGACTAAAGGAAACCCGATGACGTTTCCCATACTAACATGACTCACAATCTAAAGTAGAAAGACGACTCAATGATGGAACAAGTTGCTTCAAAGCTTTAAGAGACAGATGACCAAGTCTGCAATGCCACTGGAGAGGGGAGAGAGATGAACCACCACCACTAGAGACAGATGACTGAAGAGCAGTTGATGAACCACCACCACCACCACCACCACCATCAAGGTAATACAGTCCACTGGTTTCATGCCTTCCACCAATCTTCATCCCCGTCTTGAGATATTGAAATACACAAGATGAAGGGTAAAAAGTG